GTGGCTAACTAGTAAAATGTTGCTGATATCCTGATAAACATTTTACTAGTTAACCACTTTTTGATATCTTTCAAAAGAAGTGAGATATATAGGCTCAAAGTGGACGATCCGGGTGTCGTTCTATTAGAGGTTTTACGGTATCTACAAGAGTTTGAAAAACGAACCCTTTATGTATAAACTAGAGGTCTTTAACCTCATCCAAAGACGCTTTGAATCTCAATCTCCAACGTTTTCCATTTTTCGAAGCACTCTTGCTTACTACATAAGAACGAAACAAGATCAATTCGGAGACTCTTTCGAACTGGTGAATTACCGAGAAGAGGATTTCAAGAAGATTGGATTAATGATATTGCAAATCGGAGCACCAAACATGACATCAAATTGGCTAATCAAACGGCAAACGAAGTTTTGGAACATATCAAAAAAGCGAACGAGTACGATCCGGAATATTCTACAATTTTCAAGAGGGTTGTGGAAAACAACAAACTATTTCCTATCAAGAAAAATTCTGATCTATATGGGAAACTGCTCTCGGAAATGAAAGCTGTGTTCGGTGTGATCGAGAAATTCATAGAAGACAGAAAAGAATGGTTCACACCAAATGAGAGACTGAAAAAACCGAAAAACGAAAAACCAATTGTTCGGCTGTTTGATGGGGTGGGGGAGAAGTTTGTGCTGGGAAAGGAGTTGCTAAGAGAATCGGAGAGAGTTGGGATGGATCTGTTGGAATTTAAGGAGGAGCTCATGCAGCTGCCAGAGTTAGGTATCGTTGGATTCGAAGAGCTACATGAAGAAATTGGAGGTATCATGAAGGACATCGAGGTAAGAGTTTTGTGGTTTATAAAGATTTGTATCCAAAATACAAACTTTTCGAACAACTTTCGGAAACTGTTGTTTTCAGTCCAAAAATGCACCTAATGTGTTGTTAGACTATTGTCCATGGTGTCCTAACTTTCGCGAGTTTAGTGTGCTAGGCCACCAAAATGCATAAGAAATTGCCTGGCACTGGAAATGGTCACGTGGTGTGTTTTTTGAGCCATTTTAACACTTTTAGTCTTAATATACCAGTCAAATTTCATACCATTTTGTAGATCGTGCTGAGTTTCAAATATTAATTTTCCATTTTTACCAATTTTCCAATCTTGAACCGAGGGGTGTGTCGTCCTGTAGTTGGCTATAAATAGGGTCAATACCTCTTAATACCGTAAATATTAGGTTGTTTGGAAAGTTCCCGTCATTTTTAGCGTCAGATACATTCAAAGTAAAAAAGGTCAAAACGATGTCGTTTAAATTGAAGGTAATGACCATTGTTATCAATGACTATCTGCCAACGCCCCACTAAATTGTGGGTGCTTTCCTTTCACAACTCCGGTCACAGCAAATCAAAACCCAAGCTAACCCCTATTTGATATCCTGTTTTGAGGTGAATTTTTTCAATCAAGATGACGTTAGAAATAACTGCATACCGTAAAACCTCTAATAGAACGACACCCGGATTGTCCATTTTGAGCCTATATATCTCATTTTCTGTGAAAGATATCAAAAAGTGGCTAACTAGTAAAATGTTGCTGATATCCTGATAAACATTTTACTAGTTAACCACTTTTTGATATCTTTCAAAAGAAGTGAGATATATAGGCTC